TTTTTTTTTTTCCTTATGTTGTAAATTACGATAATCACTGAATCAGCATTGGGTTTTTGCTCAATTATTAGAAAAGTCTTAATTTCGTTTTTAATTCTATATCTTTTATTTCCTTTTTTTTGCTAGTTCGAAAATGATCTATCTTGGAAATTACTAGTTATACTGTACGTAGGGGTATGTATTTTAATGATGGATGGTTGAACAATCTGTTTAAGTAAACATGAACTATTTTATAAGCCTTTATAGTTTATGGCCTGATAGGATATAGAATATCCAGCTCAATTTTATTTTTATTTCAATTTTCCGTATAATCAATATAATTAAATAATATTGTTCAATCATTTTTGTTATATCAATTTTAATTTACTATTCATAAATTAACACACAGTTTTAGTTACTTATCAGTTTCAATCAACTCTCTTCCTCTCTCAAATTACATTAACTTTAATTATTATATTTTAAATATTATTTTTTTACTTGAATGCAAACTGAAAATTCCACTTCAACAGAATTCAATCACCTGTTTATCAAAACCAACTCATTTTTGTCCAATAAAACCAATTAAATCTAAAATAAGTTATATATCGGCCCAGGCTAATATGATACATAATATGAGATGAACAGAAGATGAACAGAAGATGAACTGCGCAAAAGTAAAGAGAGCTTCTGTATTCAGATATTGAGAAAATACCAAAAAAAGTGTTTGGGAAACCCTAAGTGGTTCCCTTTTATACTATGAGTAGAAAAACCTATTGGGCTAATGATAATGCTATACAATTAGAGGCCCAATACACAAATGTCCTAAAATACATAATTAAATGTAAAAGCCCAATTACATATTTGTTACAGGCCATTAATTTTTCTTCTTTAACTTGGTATTAGGTAATTAACTCTTGCTTCCAAGAATTGCATTTCTAAATGTTATAATTTCAATTGTTTTGGGGGGTTTTACCCATTGGAATCAGCCAAAGTGCTATTTAATGCGCCAATCTCCCCGGCCGGCAGTCGGTCCATTCAAAAACGTCGATTCAATCTTGTATCTTTCTCACAAGAATAACGATCTCCCTCGTGTTAACACTAAATTGATAAAGCATATTGATAAAGCAATCGTTCAATCAATCTTATAATAAAAAATCAAGATGTTGCATGGTAACGTGTGACGCAACCCAACGCTCTTAGCTGACACCAAACATTTATTACACTTTCTCATTTTCTCCTTCCCCCAAGCCCTTCACAAGAAGGCTAACAGATTGACGTTTATGAAGAGAAGCTGCAGACCAAAAAAAAAAAATTAAAAAAAAAAAATAATAACCATCAAATGTTCTATTTACGATGACCAAATGATTATTTTAGTCTGATGACGAAAAAAATATGACCTATGCGGTGTAACGTTTACTTGCAAATTACAATGACTTTGATGTAGTAATCAGGTAAAGAATATTTTTAATTAATCATGCAGTATCATATATCTAGGAGATGCTACGGTCCTGTTAGAGAACCATTCCGTCGGGATTTATAACCGTTAGATCAACTATCCTCGATATGTTGATCTAACGGTTACAAACCTCGACAAAATGGATCCGTAACGGGTCCATAGGGTCCATAGCACTTCTCGATCCCACAGCGGAGCGTAGGAATTCAATGCAAGGTTACAATGGACCTGACCCAGCCCAACATGGAAAACTTCATATCCACCGTTATGGAAGCTCATGAATGTAGCCCAGCCCATAAAAAGACAGCTAACCGGCCCAATCGCTTCAAGCTCCACCAATAATCAAAACAAAAGCAAGTAATGCGTTAGTGGATATAAATAAAATCCATTTTAATTGAGTTATTGATTAAAGTGAGTCAACATTGAATAATAGTTGATTTAGTTAAGGATTGAGTGAATTTTGAGTTTGTATTTAAATAATATTTAAAATATATAATTAAAGTTATTTTGATTTAAAAATAGGAGAAACATTATTAGAAATGATAGATATTTACAAAAAAAAAAAATTAATAAAAAAATTGAATAGATGAATAGTAAATTAGAGTTGATGTTGTGTGATGATAAGTAATCGATATTATTTAATTGTATTGATAACATTGATGATAGTTGAGTTGAATTAAATTAGAGTTTGACTGAGTTAAATTTGAATTGAATTTTGAGTTAAGTAGTATAAAATATTGTCCGATATTTTATGGGGTGTTATCATAATTGCCCTTTTTTATTTAGGAAAGCAGTATCTTGCTTGTGAGGACAGTACCCTTATAAAATATTTTACAATTGGATCAATGCAGTATATATGTAAGTATATACAATTTAACAGTAAAAATTTCAATGAGAATGATGCCTCAATTAGGATCAAAAATCAGATGGAAACATGACAACTCATTTTTCTGAGCAACATAAAGTTTTAGCGCAAGAAATAGTTTATTCTTAATTATAAGAAATATACTGAAAAAAGTTACACCGTACACCTACAAATTTATATTTTTTTTAGAAAAAAATATTTTACGAAGTTTCTATTTTTCGTTACAAATATACTAATTTTTACGGTTCATCGATCATAATTGATTTATGGGTTATTTTTTTATTTTATTTTTTATTTATTACTTGTTTATAAATGATTCGTATATTACTTTATTTTAAATGCAATTTTTTTTACACAAAAAAATAAAAATAAAAATAAAAATAAAGCATAGTAATTAAGTAAAATAAAAAGGTACAATCAAAGAAAAATAACTCGTTTGACCAATATAAAACGTAGTTCACAAGCTAAAGAATTTTAAAAGCACTCAAAGATTCTTCTAACACTTGAACAATCATTATTTGGATGAAATAAATTCATTTGATACCATCCAACTATTTAGTTATAAAAATAAAAAAAGAGTTGTACAACTGTTTTCATGTTTACAAATATGGAAGGTAACGCTAATGAAAGTTCATGGATTATATATTTTCTTTTCTAATAAGTGGGTCCACTCATTCACGCGTAACTCGTAATAATATATAATAAAATTGAGATAAAGTGCACAGTTCAATTACAACCTTATTCAACAAAGCACTTTAATTTTGCACGAGTTATCTTAATAAGAAGTCCTCAAGAACTTTAGACTTTTAACTATCCAATCAACAACAAAGCATTCCCAAAAGACACTTCTTATTTAATGATGCAAAGACAAAAGACCCAATAATGATAAGGAAATTCTACGGTCTCGTTACAGAAATTATTCCGTCGTTAGATTATTATGTAACCGTCGGGAATAGTTGATCTAACGGTTCCAAACCCTGACAGAATAGTTCAGTAACGGGACCGTAGCATCTCCCAAAAAGATGCATCCAATATAATATTCCTTTCATTGAGTGCAATTTCAAACATTAATTAGCTACAATAATTCTTAAGAATTTTGCCTATAGTATATTGTTGAGGGCGTGGCATAGATCATGCATATGTTAGGATTCAATTTTATCATTAATTTGCCTAATTAGTCCTTATATCTTTTTAATAAGACTATTGTTAGACATGCTTAATGGTTAACATAGTCTTATATTTGCAATAAATATACATAATAGAAGTCATATTCGAAGAAATTGTATAAAAAAATATGATATTTCATAGTATTATTATTTATTTTGTAAAAATAAAGGTACATTAGGTTCACTTATCTTGTATTGTACAAGAATTTTGTGAAATAGTACTTCAATTATGGAGTAGAGCATTTTTTCTAGTAACGTGTTCAATTAGATGGTTGGCTATTTCATCAATCAATTCAGTAGTTCATCTTTCATTAGACATTAATTGTGGACAAGGACTCATAGGCAACCTAGAGCATAAGGAACTTCATTAGTTCATGCATTCTAAACGTGGAAACTATACCAGCCTTTAATTGAAGTGTAACCAAAACAAGAACATGAAATAAGAAAGGCAAAACAATAATAGCTAGAATGGTGAATGATGAATGATTAAACTCCCATGAGAATTGGTATAGCCATCAGTACAGGTTGAGAGTCAGCTCGAAGATAAAGTGTATTACAACTCAATTTCACTTATTCAGAGTTGAGATATCGACATATTTAGCTTGGTATGTTCGGATTATTCGAACGGTCATGCTAGCCAATATAATCCAATTTGATTATACGAAAACTAACTTGAACGTCAAGTAAGTATGTGAAAAGTCCCTCCCGACATTTTACAGATCTTTCAAGTTGGTTTAGAAACATAACGTAACATTATTAGCAACTAAGATTGAATTTAGCAACAAAAAAACATGTTAAAAAAAAGGAAAGAAAGAAACAATTGCAGGTCTTTAAAGCCGGTTCACAACGCATCAGAAACAATGCCAATTAGAATCGAATATGACAACAAGAAAAACGAGCCAAGGAGAAAGAAAGAAGACAAACAAATATGACGATATAAGATGATAAATAGTGAAAAAAATAGAAAAAAAAAATAAAAATGGGATATAAGTAGACATGGCAAAAAACCGTGTCGGGTCACGACCCGGTCCGGCCCACCAGGCCACCGGGTTGAGTTTTGACGACCCTGAATTGGCACGGATCTAGAGTCGTGTCGGGTCCATGACCCGACCCGGGTTTGAACCCGGCTACATAAAAAAATAATAAAAAAAAAAAGAAAAAAATCAAAAGCAATGTATTTTTTCGTGCCGACACAGACCCAGCCCGGCCCGGCCCGCCGGTTCAAGGTCGGAAAAAAACATGACCCTTGACCAGCCCATTTAAAATCCGTGCCGAACTCGGACCTGTGGTCAATGAGTTTGACCAGGCCGGGTGACCCGTGGCCATGTCTAGATATAAGTTACAACTTACAAGTTACACCATTTTCTTTTTCTCTCTCATTTTACATTTCTTGGTTTTTTTACAGGACCCACTGGCCATGAAAACCCGAGCTCAACCGCATTGTAAACGTGTTTTGTTTGTCTCTCTCATGGCCCATTTATCAGTGTCACTTCACTTTCATCTAGACCTCTGTAAACCTCACAATAATAATATAATCAATCCTCTTATATATCACCATTCATTCACTCACCTCATTTCTCATTCAAGCCCGCAAGGAGAAGAAGATAAAAATCGTGTCTTTATCCATCAAGAATTTCCCATTTTTTTTCTGATTTTTCTGTAATTTTTTCAATCACCCAGCAGGTACACACATATTTGCTTCGTGTTTTCTTGTTCACATGCATTTTTGAGTGCGCCCCTTTTGCCCGTTAAATCTCAAGGTCTTATGGAAAACCCCAATTTTTACATCGAAATATAGTTTCACATGCATTTTGAGTGCGCCCCTTTTGCCCGTTGAATCTCAAGGTTTAACCGAAAACCCCTAATTTTTACATTGGAATATAGTGTGGGAATTTCATTAAATTTTATCAGTTTTTCAAGCTTAAGGGTTATTATATCTGTTATGATCCTTCACATTGTATTGATTCGTACAGTAATTGTGGGAGGCAAATTCAGATTTTGCCTTGAACTTGTGAATATTAGGTGGCCTCACTGACCTTATATTTCTCAATTTCTTGTTTTCTTCTCTTACTTTCTATCTTGTTTAAAGTAAAAAAGCTTTAGTTTTTCAGGCTGCGTGAAAAGTAATCTGCTTTGTTGGTGTATGCATTATCAATTTCTGATTTTATTTTTATTGTCCCGTTTGAAGCAAATGTCTAATTTTTCATGCTGCGTGGTAAGCACTCTGCTTTGTAGTATGCATTCATGGCGTTTACTCTGTATTGCGCATTTTATTTTTATGTAAGAAAGAACGGGTTTAGTTGCAATTTTGGATTATTAAATTATGGCGTGAAGAGTATAAGGCTACTTTTTGTGCAATATTTTACTGCCTTTTTTGACTCGTATCATTTTTTTTTCCCTTTTTTGAGTGTGCTCTTTCCTTATATTTTACATTAGATCCTTTCAAAAGAGCTTATTTAACTTACATTGTTAGTTCTCTCCCACCTTTTTTTTTTCATCTTGTATCCCTTTGGACCAACTAATAGGTACTGTCAAACTAGTGTGTCAACTTCTTTGCTTTTATTTATGCACTCTCTTTATGAATGTATGCTTTGTATATATATATATATGTGTGTGTGTGTGTGTGTGTGTGTGTCTATTTAGAGTTCTTATATATATGTGGCTATATATCAAGGTTCTTGCTTTCATGTGTTGAAAATCCCTCCTTTTTCTGGGTTTGTAATTGGTTTGTTATGTGTGTGATGTTTTCCCTCCTTTTTTTGTGGGATGCATCTCTCCATAATCTCAAATGATTTGAATTTTCTTGAATAATTTCCTTCCTATTGATACATGCGTCAAATTTGTTTCTTTTTTATCATTTGCTATACATTGTTTTGCTGGCATTTTTATTCTTTTTTTTTTTTTTTTTTTTTTGTTTTTTAATAATTGTTCGGCAATTAGAGTCGCGATCCGCAGGAGAAAAAAGGGTAATACATGGGGCACAGTGCAGGAAGTGATCCGGAATGCCAGAGGATTATGGACAAAGCCACTCATTTTCCCTCTTGCTGCTTGAAAGCTATGGCATCTGATCCTGAGGCTGATGCCACGCGTCATTCCACAGTTGTTTCTGGATGGTTCTCGGAGCTCGAGTCATCCTCCAGTCCAAGTTGTTTTTTCATTTTCCTTTTTTTTTTTTTTTAATTTGAATGCCTTGAATGACTCTAAGGGTTGTTTGATATTAATTACAGATGAAGCTGGTAATAAGCTAGTGTATTTCAACAATCCTATGTGGCCAGGTACGGTTTTTCGTTATTCTGATTCCAATTCTATGAAGTGATATCGATTAATACTGCTCATTCTTGGATTATTGTTCTTGGTTTGCACGGGACGTCAAAGTACCATTCTTTTTCTGATCGAGCTTTGTCTCATTGTAGGAGAAGCTCATTCATTGAAAGTGGAAAAAGTTTTGTTCAAAGAAAGGTCAAAGTATCAGGAGGTTATGGTTTTTCAGGTTTTTTTTCCTATATAATATCTCCTGCCCTCTAAAGTTCAAATCTTGTTACCTTTATTTATCGCACTCTTATGTATTGTTGCCTTTTGTTTTTATCTTTTATTTTCGAATAGTCCTCTGCATATGGGAAAGTGCTTGTGCTAGACGGCATTGTTCAGTTGACTGAGAAAGATGAGTGTGCATATCAGGAGATGATAACTCACCTTCCCCTTTGTTCGATTGAGTCCCCACGAAATGTAATACCCATTATCTCTTTACTGAGTTTATACTCTTGTTTTGCCTGAATATCATGCAGACGTTCAGTTGACTTTATTCTCGAAAAAGTAGGTTTTGGTCGTTGGTGGAGGTGATGGTGGAGTTCTTAGAGAAATCGCTCGACACAGCTCTGTGAAATCGATTGATATTTGCGAAATAGATGAAATGGTCATAGATGTGAGTGATTTTTTTTATTATTTTTTTCTTTTTTTGTCCATAAGTTGATTTTAATCAAAAGATTTTGCCGGTGCCATTTTCCTAATGTTGGATAATTAATTATGCTCTTTGCCCGTATTATTACAGGTCAGCAAGAAATTTTTTCCCGAGTTAGCTCTTGGCTTCGAGGATCCTCGTGTGCAACTTCATGTTGGTGATGGTATTGAGAACTGCAATTTTAATAAAATTTACTTGTTATTTTGTTACTTTTATTTTTTAATTTTTCTCTATCTTATTTTTATTTTTTTGGTTATTTTATTCACAGCTGTTGAATTTCTGAGGCATTCGCCTGAAGGGAAGTATGATGCGATCATCGTTGATTCATCAGACCCTGTCGGTAAGTAAAACATTCTCAGATCTTCGTACACTGGTGAATATATTTTTTTTTTTATTCTAAAATCCCATTTCCTATTAAGTGGCTACCATTGTCTGTGTGCAGGTCCAGCACAGGAGCTAGTCGAAAGACCATTCTTTGAGACCATAGCTAGAGCATTAAGGCCCGGTGGAGTTCTCTGTAATATGGCAGAGAGTATGTGGCTTCATACACATATGATTCATGATATGGTTTCAATATGCCGAAAGATATTTAAAGGTTCTGTACGGTACGCATGGACCAGTGTTCCCACATATCCTAGGTAAAAAAATGTTTTTGCCTAAAGTATTACTATTGTCCATTCCAATGATAATTTCCAAAATTCAAATCTAAAAAACATTACATTTCTAATGGTTTTGTTGTATGCGTGCGTTTTTCACAGTGGGGTTATTGGATTTCTGTTGTGCTCGACTGAGGGACCTCATGTTGATTTTGTTCACCCTATCAACCCTATAGAGAAGATAGAGGACAATGCTCTTGCTTGTAGAAGGCAACTTATGTTCTACAATTCTGAGGTACTTTATTTGTTTTATTTTCTTTTATTAACTATCGAATTCTAGCATTGCTTTATACTTTTTTTCACGTTTAACATTTTGTTTTGTGTGATTAACAGATGCATAGTGCTGCCTTTTCGTTGCCCTCATTTGTGAAGAGGGAAGTGGAAGCTCTTCGTGATTGCTCAACCGAAACCAAAAAAGTCCACGTACAATAATTGCTCCTTTGCATCGCTATCAATAATATCTATATATATAATACGTGAAGGAATACACATAGTTTCCTTTCAGGCTTTTAGGTTCTCGGATGTGAATTTGGCCATATGAGTGGAAAACTTGTGAAATGTGAATTTTCGATTCGGTTGTTAGTCAGTGTGTTTTAGCATTATTATCCTTTGTTGAAGAGTTTGATGTATTCTCTGGCTACAAAACCAGTGAGAACTGTGTGATGGACATTGTTGTTACGAGGGAAAAGTGGAATAAATTTGTGGGGTTAACTGACTAGCTTTATTACCACCAATTTTTCGGAGGGTTCGACCCCACCTGTGACTGCGACTGCAGATTACAGAACTTGTGAGAAATCTATGATGATGGCATTCTTGTTACGAGTGAAAGCTGGAACGAATTATGGACTTGAAACTAGCCGACTAGCTTTCCTATTTTTCGGAGGATTCGACCCCACCATCTGTGGCAGCATATCACAAAACTTTCGAGAGATCTGTGGTGATGGTGTTCTTGAGTGAAAAGTGGAATAAATTATGGACTTAAAACTAGTCGACTAGCTTTAGTACCATCGATTTTTTGAACGGTTCAACCCTGTCGACAACTGCACTGCAGTCACCTCGGTAGGTTGAAATGAACCATGTTTGCCTATGTAGAGTACCCTACTAAAAACCAGAAATATGATGCCAACAAAAAAACAGATTGAATTGAAAAAACTTAAGAAAAGATACTAACAATTTTTTTTATTTTTTTTTTGCCAGCAAGATTCATAACAAACTACTTACCCAAGATACATACACAGACATCAATCAATCATATGAACACAAAAACCAAGCTGCAGCAAATACCCCTATAGGCTATAACCCCCCTACCAAACACCCCCAACAAAACACTCCCAAACAACACAAACCATACCACCCCCAACACACACACACACACACACACATCAATAATCAATGATATAACATAACCATACTTCTCCTATATCAGCCAGTCAATATCACTTATCCTCTGCCGTGAAATCCGGCTCAGCCGGCTTCTGCAGCAGCATTGGCGGCATCCTCTCCTGCCCCACCGCCGCCCTCACCTTCCGGGCTCCACCACCTCCTCGACTCCTCCTCAGCCCCCTAAGCGCATTCGCCGCAAACCTCGATGCGTAGATCGCCGCCCCAAGGCTCGTCGGCGGACCCCCTCCCGTCGACCCGTCCCTCGCCAGCGCATCCCTCAGCCGCCCTTCCTCCTCCCTCAGCAATGCCTCCTCCGCCTTCCGCCGCCAGTACCTCCGCCACGCCGCCTGTATGAAGCACGCCGCCCAAGTCCGCCACTGCTGCGAGTAGAATCGGAACGTGTGCCGGAGCTGCTTGCTGTGGAGCCTCCGGAACTGTGAGGCCACGAACTTCAGGTCGTGGGCCATCAGGGCAAAGGCCTCGACCTCTGAAAGGGCCTGTACCGTTCGGGTTGATGTCGGGAGGTTGGAGGAGGAGTTTGGGTCGAGGGCCCATGTCAAGAGCTCCTCCCCGCAAAAGTCGCCGGGCCTGAGATGGTCAGAGTTGAAGAAGCCCGTTCGGCCACCGTTTGTGGTCACTGTAAGCAAACGGCCACGCATCACGAAAAGCATCTCATCAACCGGGTCGCCCTCTCGCACGATGTAGCTGCCTTCTGTGTACAAAACGGGCCTTAACCGGTCGCAAAGCGCGTCCAGCAGCTGCTCGTCCATCTTCTCAAACATCGGCACCTGAAAATTAACCCCAAAAATAATTAAAAAGTTTGATTTTTGATTTGGGTTTGATATTGGGTTTGGGGAGAGAAGGAGAAAAGAAACTCACTCTCTTGAGTAAAGCTAAACATAGATGTCGTTTTATGTCTCGTCTAAGATCCTTTGGAAGATTGCGGATAAGGTTCTCTTCGTCGACGCCTCGAGTTTCCTGCCATTTGTACTGCTCGTACCTTCTTATACGCTCCCTCAAGCTGTCGGGAAGAAGGCGGTGGGACATCCATTGCTCGGCGTCTCTTTTTTTGACCCTCATCTCTTCGAGTCTCAGTGTTGTGGACTGCAGGTATGTCTGTTGCGCAAAATTATCAAATCATATCTTAGTCGAATGTAAATAGAAAAAGGAAAAAGAGAAGGAGAAGGTTAAATTAAATAGAGCAACAACAAGGCACTCACTTGCATATTTCCAATCAGAAACGAAAACAACACCAAGCCCGCGATTGATATGAAAACCGCAAAACAAATTTCCCAAACGTAGGTACTTGTTTTAAGGTTCTGGCCGAGGGAACTGCCCATAATTACACAGAAATTTAAATTCACATAACAAATTAGGTACATGCATGAGTAGTACTTGAGCACATAAGCACTTAATAAATCTCATAGGATATATATACCTCAAATTCTGTAGGCCCCACCAGAAACAATAGAAGAATTTCTGGGGGAAATCTTCCGATTCAACAATACCAGATTGAAGGGCCTCGAGGAATATCCCAAAGTCGAAAAGCGTAGCATTTTCATTTTGGATAGGGCATGAGTTGTTCAAAATCTGTACGAATCTCGTGTGGTCCCCGTGGCAATAAAAAGAGGCCTCTTTACACGCAGTTTGGTTCCCACAAGCTCTCTCCCAACAGATCGTCTCACGTTCTATCGAGAACAAATACCAAAAGGCTCCAAGCACCTAACAGGTGATCACAAACCAGTCATCACTATGAAAAAAATTCAATAAAAAAATAGAACAAAAGTGCATTAAACATAACCAACATAATTCTTTGAACAATTAAGTTAGAAAAATAAAAAATAAAAAATTACATGGCTGGCAAGCATGTAGAGGAAAAGATTGAACGCAGCCCCTGCCCATGCTGTTTCAGTGAGTATGCCGGAAGTTCTTGTGACTTCCCTATATAAAGGATAGACTCGTAGAACCCTCGGTATATACTGAATGATCACCGCAAATTTTAACAGATTCTTCGTGTTCAAAGACCTTGCGCCTTTCAACTTGGGTATGATGATGAGAATCACAGTCTGAGATATAGTCAGAAGATGGTCAGATTTAGAATTATGTTCTAATATAACAAGAATCTTAACTGGAAACAAATTGTATTGTTGATAGTTCACTTAATGAAGGCCAAAATTCTTTGAAATTTATTCCATCACAATTCACTACAGAAATAAGAGGTTTCAAAATAAAAACAAATGATTTTGGTCACAATCACAAAATAAATAGTAAATACAACAACCTTACAATGTGCATGCAAGAAATCTCTCTTACCTGTGGAAGAGGAAGAACTGCAAGAATGTCGATTATAAAATAAGACGACAAATATCTCTTTGCAATAGCCCATGAATCCTGAACAAGGACGCCTCTCCCAAACACACGCGAAGAAGGTGCAATGAACCCCGTCCGGAACTGGAAAATAATATGTATGAGATAGAATATATCCGTAATTGATCTCAACACACTAGCGGCAATTTCCAACTTCTTGTCCAAATCGAGGCACTTCTTCCCATCGTTAATGATGGGGATGTAAAAGAACAAGGGATCCAAAGAGACAGCAATCATGCACGACAGCACGAAAATTTTGTTCCATTTTTGCAAAAAGGGTCCCTGAGGATCAAGAATTTTCGTCTCGGACCCCTCGTCATCCGCCAGAGACTTGGACTTTCCTCGAGACAGGAATCTTAAGGAGCCAGTGAACCTCTTGATCCTTTCCGACCCAGAATCTAATCCTCGATGAAATTTGTCCGAAACCGAGTATACTGTCGCCTTCAGCCTGGATAGTTGCAGTCCACCGCTTGACGGAGATTGATCATTAAAACTTTTTTCCGACCTCCAATCTTGAAACCTGAAAGGCAACAGATATGTAAAAGGACATACAAAATAAATGTTATAGATAATAACCCGTTGCAATGTAAAGGAGATTGGAAGTATCTCGAACTAACCTCACAAACTTCTCACGGTGGAAGGTCATAACTCCAGCTTACATGGGAACAGAAGCAAAACCCGATATGGAACAGAATAGAGAAACACACGCAACACCAGGATTTGCTGAAGATCACAGCCTGAAACAAATTAGTTCCTTAGGTTAAATTGAAAGCACAAACTCCACCGTTGGCAAGATTTAACAGAGAACAATATTTGCTTGGTCGGAGTTTAATAACACAAACAGAAGTAAAGTTCACAACTTTGTTAAGGAAAACAAAAACATTTCACTCCAAGTCTGTAACTCACAAAATTCGTTCGGCGCTGACGAAAGTGAAAGTCCAAACCTTTCTCTCTATTCCTAATCAACATATTAAGGGCTTTTGTCACTTATCTGAATTCACTCTTTCATAACCAACACACTCTAAATTGTAGCATTCACATTTCAAACTTCACCTTTTCCTTAAAAATTCAGAAATTTTCATCAACAATCTTCACGATTTGCACCAATTACACACCACAATAATCGACCAAAATACTTGAAAAGGCAAAAACAACAAATTAAACAAAACCAAAAGACTCCTGAAGCAGAACAAACACTCACCAATTTTTGCTCCGATTACCTCAACACTTCAAACCCATCAAATCGGAAACTGAGAAATTTAACAGAAAACTAAAATTAAACAAAAATAATCATCCATACCGAGGTTATCAGTTGTTACAAAGACCAGCCCACGACGTCGTACTGCTCTGTGCGTGTGAAAAATAAGAGAGGATGAGAAAGGAGTTACAAAGGGCGAAGCTTCCCTGTGACTTCCTCTGCTCTTGGACCTGTTCCAACTTTTTTTTTCTTCAGTTTAATTTTAATTTTGTCTGCAACTTGAATAAAATCTTGTGATCTTTTGCAGTTAAGACTTTCTTAGATAGAGAAAAAGGAAAACCGTTTTGTGTGAGATGAGTTAATTATTATAACGCAATAATTACGCCACTAATATTATTTTAAAAAAAAAAAACATATGTTATAAAATATAATACTTTTATTTATATTATCTCCCTCTATATATAATTTTCGAATGCGCTGAGCCTATGTGGCTGATTCTGTTGTTTCATAATTCTACTTGGCGAAAAATCATGTTTCGTAATTAGGTTTGGACAAATAATATTGATATATTAATAATTAATTATCTAGGTCCGGACATTTCATAAATATTATTTATCTAACTTAGGTATTTTAATAGGTATTAATATAACCCTTTAATTATTTGTAATTTTATATAGTGAGGCACTAACTGACTAATATATCGCTGACTTTGATTTGTTTCCTTCAATTAGCTTTTTAAATTATAAATATATTTTAAAAGTTGATAACTTTTGTATTTCTTATCGGTTTTACATATATTATATATCAAATTAATTATTTTTTGATGATCTTCGATTTGACATCTATATTGTATATATGAAATAAATAAATTATATTTATCTTTATAATAATAAAGAATAATAATATTTATTAAAATTCAATAGAAAAATAAAATTATTTATCAACTGATATATTTATTTTTAATGTAGTAATATGTTGTAAGTTAAAAAATTATTATAATATGACACAGATAAGTCGCACAAATAAAAAGTGTCATATTAAATATATAATAATATATATATTTTTGTAAAAGGTATTTAAAATTCCAACTACTTTTTCTCATTAATTTTAGATTTTAAGAAAAAAATTAGCAAGCATTCGTGTAATACACGGGTGTTGTACTAGTTTCCTTATAATTATGGGTTTGAGATAGTAAGTTCGTTTAATTGTTAATTAAGTGATATATTCGTCTAATCGTTAAATCTATTTAACAGTAGCATTATCGACCCAATATTTATAATTAAACACAATTTTTTTAGTGAAACAACATAAAAATTAGACTAGTTGACTTGTCATACCATTTAAATAAAAATGTGTACTTGTATTGTCAAAGTCATATTTTTATTTATATTATTTTTTAACAAATAATATTTTTTTTTTTAACGAAAGCATGCACAATTATAAAAATAATATATACATGACGTGACTAATACAATATCAAAATGATATTTTCTTGCAATTTAGACAATTGCATGTATTTTATAGTACATATATTATTATAAAACAAAATTTGCTTAGTAGGATTTGGTTCATTAGCAAACTAAAAATGGTCCAAATTTAATAAAACTGTTTAAATGTTTAATTAGGCGTCGTTTACTAACAAAGATAGGATTGGATTAGGTCGGTTAACCAACCTAATCCTTCATTTACTAGGCAGGTTAATGATAGAAAAAAAGTGATGTGTAAAATAGCTGGCATGTGGGTCCAATGACCATTCAATGACGTGTGAGGATAATACAATCTGCTCAAAATGGCCGGACTTTTTAATCTGCTATTGCTTATACCAATTTTGTCCAAAAAGTAGGTAGTAAGATGTCCATTATACCCCTCAATATCCCTAAATTTACTGAACTAGTATTTATAAAACCGAAAAATCTTACCTTTCTGCTCGATCGAGACACTAACCAGAACCCTAGCTGCTCATCCGTAAACGCCCATTCTTCTGCTTCAGCTTCGAATTTAGTTGTTTTTTTCGACTTTCTTGTAATTGCTCCTCTTGGCAACTCGCAGGTGTCGGTACATTTGCTTGTTCTCGGTCGACGGATCGCGACAACCATTACTCCAATCCAAATTCGAGGTCATGAATCTGCTAATCTCTGCTTCAATTAATTTTTCCTTCCATTGTTTTTTTGGTCCAATGTCGGACGGCGATATGTTTATACACGAGTCCTGATTTAATTGAATTTTTTTTTGTGTTAAACATTAATATATATTTGTCACAGTTCCATCTGGTCATTTGTGGATTTTTTTTTTTAATCTTTTTATTCCATAATGCAAAAATTTTCAAACGCCTAAATGTCTGCAGACGATTCTGATGCAATTAACATGAATTTATTTGTTAAACATTGATATATACATTTTACATTTGACTCTGGTATGGATTCTTTGAATCGAGTTTTTCAGGGTGCAGGTTTTTAGGGTTCGAGTTAAATTTTGAAGATGTTATTTTGCCCAGATCCGATCTTAATATCTACTGCTGGTGTGAGGGTAAAAATGTAAGTTTGGGTATATATCATTCTTACGTTTTTAACACCAAAATTTTTTTAACATGGTTAGTAAAAAAGGATAGGATTGTTCTAAAATACTATCATGCTTAGTAAATAAAGATAGAATCTGACGTGGCAATTTGAATAGATTATTTTGTCTAATCCTTTCCTTGTTAGAATCTGACGTGGCATATTTTTATTTATATTATTTTTTAACAAATAATATTTTTTTATTTAACGAAAGCATGCACAATTATAAAAATAATATATACATGACGTGACTAATACAATATCAAAATGATATTTTCTTGCAATTTAGACAATTGCATGTATTTTATAGTACATATATTATTATAAAACAAAATTTGCTTAGTAGGATTTGGTTCATTAGCAAACTAAAAATGGTCCAAATTTAATAAAACTGTTTAAATGTTTAATTAAATTATTGTTGACCATATCTTGTGTGTTGTGTACACTCAGATACAGTTCAAATGAAGGGGCAGGTCGTTGGGTGGGACCCATTTCAAATGGGTGTGACTATTTGTCTCCGGTTGTCTTGTTGTGCAGTGCTTGCATTTTCCAAATAATGATTAATATTGTTATGAAATGCGAGAAATATAAAGAACACAATGTATAAAAATCGGATATAACTCAAATTTTTTTTGCCTTTTGTTTCTTCACTTTCGTATGTACAAATAGAGGAACCCTTCTCTTGCCTTTTATAGGCAAAACTTCATCATTATTAATTAGATGCACACAATTCTATGCAAATGATAAGATAAAGTAATACATTTATTAGTGGTAAAATTCTACTTGTTATAACACTCCCCCTTAGAATTACCACTATTAAATGTGCATTTATGCTGCCTCGTTAAAAACCTTGTCTGGAAAAAACCTTGTGGGAAAAAACCGAGATAAGGAAAAAAGAGTACAACTGCACATACTCCCCCTAGAATTATCATCCGTGCAAATCCCGAAGATGCCTCATCCCAATATTGTGCACGTGCTTTCGAAATATTGTCGTCGGAAGCACCTTCGTAAACAAATCTGC